AAAATTATTATTGTATTATTCAAAACAAAAATAATTCCTTGCATTTTGTTAGATAAATACTTTGTGAAGCACTCCTTATTATATATATATTTATATAATAAAAATATTCTCTCGTGTATCTTAAGCAGAACTATTATATATTACTGTATGTTATGTTAAATCTTCTCTGTGAATCTAAATCATCAGAAGTTTTATAATCTTTAATTTTATTCCTATACATTATAATATTACATTTCTTTTTAGACTTCCCCAATAAGACTTTTTTTAACCAATATCCAACTGGAATAAACTAATGAAAGCATTGTATATGTAGTATATATTTCATGTATAATATTTTCAGACTTATTTAAAAATTAATAAAATTTATATAATATAATCAAATACATATTTCATTTTTATTATCATTAATAATTACTTTGCAAAGTACAATACATATAACTGTTATTCCTATAGCTAAAGGAACAATGACTATTCTTGATGAAGCAGCTGAGCGCTTATTTGAAATTATATATTTTAATGAGTTTTCATCTGTAAACATATATGTCTGTTGTTTTTTATTATGTTCTGTTGATATTTTTTGTTCTTCTAGCATTCTAGCAATAGTTGCATCATCTTTCACTTCACTACATAACAGTGTAGATATATAATACTTGTCATTCCTTTTAAGAAATTTATTAAAATCAGTACAATGTGAATGATTATGAAGCGTTCCTTTGCATGTATCCATTAGCTTCTTATATACTGTCGTATACATAACAAGTTGAGCCTTATATTTATTATTACAATATAAATTATGTTTTATTAAATCTTGTTTAATGTCATCATAATCTTTAGAATAATCAAANNATATTATAATTATTATATTTATCATAATTACATATGCGTTCACCTTTATTGTCTTGCAAAAAATGTTTAAGTCTTTCCATAACAGAATAAAACGAATTTCTGTCTTCTAAATTTTTGTATAATAAATCACATATCCAAATGTACAGGTAATCACAGTGAGTACTATTAAATTTTTTTTTCTTGGATTGATTATATGCATAACATATGGCATTAAGTATTTTACTAGAAACATTTTCTTTCCATTTTTCGTTTTGTAGACTTTTCTTTGCTTTATCATAAAAATTGTAGTCATTGCAATTTTCATCTTGATTATTGAAAATGTCGTAATTCTCTTTTGTAGGTAACTTATTAAGTGCTTCATCCTATGAAATTAAAACGAAAGATAACATATAAATTTTTATATATAAAAAAATAAAATAAATAATTTAAGAAGAAATAGAATATTATGACATAAATAATAATTTACGTTGCATAAAAATACTACCCCTAGAGGATCTTTCATTATTAACGAATGTTAAAATGTGATATACAAACAAAGAAAACAATTATGTATATAGCTATATATTTCATAATATATTGAACAATTAATAAGAATATTCATAAGAATATATATAGCGCTATTTAGAATTATGGATTTTGTTTATTCTTATTTTTATATAAATAATGCGTAATTACTTCAATATAATGTACAATGAAATATGGATATATATTGACTATTAGGATATAATGTATAAATACGCATATTATAAGCATTTCATGATATATACAATATTAGTTTAAAATTAATTATTTGTAATTCCTAATAATATATATTATAGTATATATTACATTGGAATATATATTCTCTATGTTAGGTATTTACTATGCAATATCCATTGGTACTATATATTAAATAAAATATAATAAGTTTTTTGTTTCATACACAACATGATTATTCGAATAATAAATGTATAATTTATATTAATATGGATCTGTATTAGATCCTTAATTAAACAAGCTTTACTATTTTTTTTCACTTTATAAATTTAATAGGCTTTTAAAAAAAATTTTTTTTATTTAGGTTCATTATGGTTTAGTGTTTAGGTTTTATTTTATATGTTATTAGTGTCTGTCTTAGTGATTATGTTCATAGTGTGTATTTTATTTGTTATGTATGTATTATTGTAT